AGTTAGTTAGTTAGTTTGTTAGTTAGTTAGTTAGTTAGTTAGTTAGTTAGTTAGTTAGTTAGTTAGTTAACAATCAAGTAAACAAGTTTTTTATTTAAACCAGAATTGTACAAGACTCATAGCTTACTGAAAATTATTTAAAGTGATTCTATAAAAATTCTAAGTGCAAATGTTTAAGGGCTGAACATCTTATAAACATCTTAAACATTTCATGGTTACATTTCTTTTAGACACCTGCRCCTCAGATGGACAACTCCTGTAGTATGGCCCTATGGATCATTGTCTGCAATTTTATTAGCACTTGTTGAATCTTATTATCTTATCTTATTTCACTTAAATATCTAATATGTCTAGTCTTATCCTCCTGAGACCCAGAAGAACCAATTTCAGATACTTGGAATGTAACTGTGGTGAAGTTGATTAAGTGCAAAAGCGGCCTACCATACCCGTGAGCTTCCTCATGCTGCTGAAATGATCTGCTGCGCTCACAGAGTAGACCCCGACTGTTTAGCAAGATGGACTTAAGATCGAGCAACCGTTCACATCTTTCTTTCATCTTCACAGTTAACAAGAAAAAATGTTTTTCAGACTCTGATTTGGAAAAAAAAAAGGGAAAAAAACACTACAGTTGTTTCGCTATGTGGTGTTTTTTGCTTCATGGTGGGGACAGTTATTGACCATTTCCCTGYTACACACAGCCTGGTGAGGTTAGGGTTTGGGTCAGGTGTGTAGTCTACCTGGGAGGTTATGGTTGGCTATAGAATTGACCGGGAAATGAATGGAAGCCAACGCAAAGTCCCCATGAGGATAGAACAACAAACGTGTGTGCGCGCACAGGAGGTGTGGAGCGGAGCCCGCGAGCAGAGCGCAGTGGAGATATGGAGACTGTGTCAGCGGGCGACTGTTATTGTTGATACTGCTGGATTCATTTTTATGGAACATGGAAACTTTTAGTTTCAGCAGGCGACCACTCCCCCTCCCCCTCGAACGACTGAAAGCTCACACCAGTGCGACCGGACATTTTTTTTAGTCGCACTATTAGGAAATCAGGTCGCATTTGRGACCAAATTTGTCGCACTGTAGAGCCCTGTTCACCCATGCGCACACACATTCACACACTGATGATGGTAAGCTACAGTGTAGCCACAGCTGCCCTGAGGCACACTGACAGCCAACTTTCTGGCTGCCATGCACTGGCGCCACCAGACCCTCTGACCACCATCAGTAGGCAAGGCGGGTGAAGTGTCTTGCCCAAGAACACGACTGAGACGGCTGGACGGGGGATCAAACCGGCGACCTTCCAGTTCCAGGACAACTCCCCTAACCACTCCACCACAGCCACCCATTTATTACAAGAAAATTTAATTGCTTCTAAACTTAAACACTAGTTGCACTACTTAGGGACAGTTTCAGCCTTGCAAATACATCACCAACATCACTAGCTGTAAAATGATGGTTGAAGTTTTTTTTAGCCCATTACAATTCTCAAAAAAATTTAAAAAAATCAGAAAAATGGTAAAGCAGAGAGGCTTTTTACCTGCTCTTCATGTCTGCCTGTTGACTGTTGTGCTCTTCATTGCGCTGCAAGGCAAACACGCACACAAATATAGATGTGTTAAATCAAGGGTAAACCTGTTTACCTTGCTTAGTGTTTAGTGACAATAGGAAAATCAAACCTCTCTACAACAAAGCTCATTTATCAAATCACTGTTTCTGTCCTTTCAAACCGGCTATAATGCAATGCTTACATAATATGGAACATGATAAAGTCAGTACCTGGTCAGGAAATTGAGACTTCTGAGAGGCCAGCTTCAGCTCCTCACTGAGAGAAAACAGATAAGACAGGAGAGGTCATGTTTAGATGCTGCGCTAAAAACAGTTTAATTGTGAGGATCTGTTTTTTTTGTGTGTGTGTGTGTGTGTGTGTGTGTGTGTGTGTGTGTGTGTGTGTGTGTTGTATTGTGCTCTGCCTC